GGGGCTTTCTGGGTGTGCCAGGACCCGGCGGGGCGCTCGGGGGCGTGGCTCCACGGACAGGCCCCGCGGGGTGGCGGGTGGCAGGCGTCCCCGGTTCCCCGCTGTCTTCCAAACTCCTCCAGCAGGACATGCTTGCTTCCAGGTCATCATGCACCCACTGAAGCCCCGGATCTCAGTGGCCAGGGGCGTAGTCTACGTCGCCGTCATCTGGACCATGGCTACCGTCTTTTCGCTCCCACACGCCATCTGCCAGAAGCTGTTCACCTTCAAGTACAGGTGAGAGGCGCTGGCAGGCAACCTGGGACTCGGCCGCTCTGCCCGCGACTTCCTGGCACATCCAGGCACACAACAGCGCAACCCTGAGCCCGGCGGGTGCACGCCTCCCAGGTGATGGGGTCTGCACCCCCCCGCACGCTTCTCTGCCTCTCCCAGCATCACCCCGGCCACGCCTGTCCTCCACATCTGCTGGGCTTTTCTGTTTCGCCACGTGGCTTCCTCCTGGGTCGCAGGGACCAGGGCAGCCACCCGAAGGTGTTACGAGGGGGTGTGCATGCACACGGCCACGGCCTTGTGCAGGACGAGCCAGGTGAAAGCCTCTCCCAGCATGCACGTGTGTCTGCGCCCGTCGGAGGTGGCCACCCTGCCTCCCCCACCACCGCCCACCCAGTGTCTTGATCGCAGGCTCTTGCTGCGTGAGCACGTCGTTCTGTTTCAAACAGCTTAGAACCAGTTCGCTAAAAACCGTCTCCCCGCTGGACTGCAAGCTTGGGGAAACTGGCCCTGGGTCTGGTTCTGCTGTCTCAGTGATCCCACACTTGTCCGACTGCCTCCCCGGGACAAGCCCTCCTCCACCCGCACTTACAGAGTGAGCGAGCGAATGAGTGATCTCAGGGGTCTTTGTCGTCTCGCCGTTGGTTTCGATGAAGCTCCGTGGACACAGGCTCTGAGATAGCGGCTGCCCGTCACGTGGTTTATGAAGGCCGCGCTCCCAGAGGGATGGGTGAGAGCAGGGGAGGGAGAGGCCGCGGAGGGGGGTGCTTTCAGGGGCGCTGGAGCAACCTGATACTGCGGAGCGTGCCCCTGAGGCAGGGGAGCTGGGCTTTCACTTTCCTCCATCTCGGCGTGGGCCCCAGGCCTTCCCGGGAAAACCAGAGATGCCGGCCACTGGCTGTTTGTGACTCTGCGGGTCGGGCCTTGAGGGGCCCTAAGGCTCCCGCTTCTCGCCAGCCGTCTGGTGCTCCAGGCTGGCCACACGCTGCCCCGCCCGGCACACACACACATCCTGTCCCCGTGATGAGAGCAGGTCAAGAGAAACAAGCCCCGAAGAGAGACTGGGAGAGAACGAGACGGGGCCGGCGGGGCGGGGGGGGGGGGTGACAGAGACAGAGAGAGAAAGAGAATCAGAGACAGACACACAGAGACGGAAATATGGAAAGACAGAGAGAGACAGCGAGGCAGAGACAGAAAGGCAGAGAGAAAGAGCAGAGAGAGAGAGAGAGGTGTGAAGTTGGGGTAAGTCTAACTGACTAATTTATAAAGGCTCCCTTCGTGAATTCTGGGATGCTGGAATGAAATCTCACACCCAGACTCCCGACATTCAGACCTGCCTTCCCACAAAAAGGACTTAAAAGTCATGTTTCATTGTGGGGTACTGGCGCAGGTTGCGTGCAGGGACGTCTGGGGCTCCCAGCCAGCCCCAAGAGCGGACCTTCCCCCCGCGGGTGGCCACGTGCCCCCTGCCCTCCCCCGCCCCCAGCAGTGTCCAGCGGCTGCTGATGCTGCCTTGTGCGGATGTGACCAGCGTCCAGGGCCCTCTTTTGAGTGAGCACATGCGGTGTTCGGCTCTTGGTTTCTGTGCGAGTCCACTCAACGCGATGGTCCCCCACTCCATCCAAGCTGCTGCAGAGGACCTGGTTCTGTTCTTCTTTTTGGCTGTGTGATAGTCCAGCAGGTACATGTACCACATTTTCTTTTACCCAGTCCACTTTCGACAGGCATCTGGGTTGGTTCCCTGTGTTTGCTGTTGTGCACAGCGCTGCAGGGAACATACGTGTGCTGGTGTCTTTTTGGCAGAGTGATTTGTGTTCCTCTGGGTATATTCCCAGAAGTGGGACTGCTGGATTATAAGGAAGCTCCATTTTTACTTCTTTGAGAAAACAGCATGCTGACTTCCCACAGAGATGGAACGAGCTTGTCTTCCCACCAACAGTTTGGCCGTGTCCCCTCTTCTCTGCAGCCACACCAGCTCCTGCTGTTCTTTGGCTTATGAGTGATGGCCGTCCTGACCGGTGTGAGGTAGAATCTCACTGCAGTTTTGATTTGCATCTCTCTGATGACGAATGAGGCGGAACACCTGTTCGTGTCTGTTGGCTGTTTGCGTGTCCTCCTTTGAGAAGCGTCTGTCTGTGTCCTTTGCCCACTTTTCTTTCCCCCACTTTTTAATGGGGTTGTTTGTTTCCTTTCCATTTGTTTGAGCCACAGAGGTCTTTTTATGCTAACATGAGCAAAGGAAGTTTTCTCTTTCTTTGGTGGGGGATGGCCACCGGCACAAGCGCAACACGCCGCATGGGTATTCCTAAGAAGGGTGAGGGGGCCAGGGCACCTTCCACGTGGAATGCTGGTAGGACTGGCCAGAGCTCTGTTAGCCAGGCTTTGCCCGGCGTGCTCACAGACCGGGCATTTCTGTTCTCCATTCCTTAGTTCTCCTTTAAATGGGAAGGGAGGTGGCACAGTGGGGAATCCCGGGGTCTCTTCAGGATGACTTAGTGTCCAGACTAGGAACATTAGTGTTTCGTTTGTCTGTTCGACACCTGTTGGTCGGGTCTCCGCCATGAGCTAGGGACGCCACAAGGTTAGGAGGACACAGAGAGAGTCAGGCGTGCTTCTCACCTTCACGGAACTCCAGTCTAGCGGGAAGCCGGCAGTGCTGTGGGATGATCAGGCAGTGGGTGCGTGAAGAGGCTCCCCTTGACGGCTGCTCCGGGAGCCCCGTGGCGGGAGGCGGCGCTGCCTGGAGGGGGCCAGCCTGGGCCCACGCCCTGGCGCTCACCTCCCCTCTCCGCGCAGCGAGGACACCGTGCGCTCCCTGTGCCTGCCAGACTTCCCGGAGCCGGCTGACCTCTTCTGGAAGTGCCTGGACTGGGCCACCTTCGTCCTGCTCTACATCCTGCCGCTGCTGGTCATCTCTGTGGCCTACGCCCGCGTGGCCAAGAAGCTGTGGCTGTGCGGCGCCATCGGGGACGTGACCACGGAGCAGTACCTGGCCTTGCGGCGCAAGAAGAAGACGACCGTCAAGATGCTGGTGCTGGTGGTGGTCCTCTTCGCGCTCTGCTGGTTCCCCCTCAACTGCTACGTGCTGCTGCTGTCCAGCGCGGTCATCCGCGCCAACAACGCGCTCTACTTCGCCTTCCACTGGTTCGCCATGAGCAGCGCCTGCTACAACCCCTTCATCTACTGCTGGCTGAACGAGAGCTTCCGGGCGGAGCTGAAGGCGCTGCTCAGCGTGTGCCCCCGGCCCGCCAAGCCCCAGGGGGCCCGGCCGCCCTCCCCGGCGCCGTCCTTCAGGGTGGCCTGGGCGGAGCGGGGCGACAGCCGGAGGGCTCCACCGGCCGGCCGCTCCCCGCCCCCCTCACCACGGCTGCCTGGGAAGACAGACCTGGCGGCTGTGGAGCCCGTCGTGGTGCTGAGCTAGGGCGGGGGACACGGACCCAGCCCGGCCTCGCACGCGGCCTTCGCGGGCTGGAAGCGAGTCCACGCAGGAGCCGTGCGAGTCTTGGGTCCCAGGAGACGGCCCAGCTGCCAGGCGGTGGTGAGAACTAAATGCCACGGCCGGCAAGACGTGTGTCCGTAACACACGTGCGCACAGCATCCCGTCCCCCTGAGTGCAGAGCCAGCAGCGACTGGGCCCAGACGGAGGCTGAGTCTCAGCTGCCTCCACCTGCCGGCCCGCGTGTGTTTAACACACCTCACCTTCCGAACTTCACAGCTCAGCTGAGTCTACCTTAAATGAGAAGCTGACAAGGTGCTTTCATCACCCTCCGTCAGCCTCAGCTGCCTCCTCCTGCCGGCGAGCTGCTGCCCCTGCCCCCACGCTGAGCACCCAGAAGGAGCTCAGAGTCAGACTTGGGGCGTGGCCGGCCCAGATGCACAGAGCTCTGCCGGAAACGGGTTGGCTGACATGGAGCAGTCATGGAGTCACTGGACCATGATGAAGCACAAATCCAGCCAAAAAGGACCCACATGGTTTCCTTGCAACGAGAGCCCGGGCGCGGTGGCTCATGCCTGTCATCCCAGCACTTTGGGAGGCAGAGGCGAGAGGATTACCCGAGCTCAGGGGTTCGAGACCAGCCTGAGCAACATGGCGAGACCACCTCTCTACAATAAATCAAAAAATTAGCCGGGTGTGGAGGCGCATGCCTGTGGTTCCAGCTACTCGGAAGACTGAGGCGGAAGGATCGCCGGAGCCCAGCAGGTGGAGGTTGTGGTGGTCACTGTGCTCCAGCCTGGGCAACAGAGTGAGACTCCGACTCACAAAAACAAAAACAAAACAAACAAAAAAACAAGGAGAATTTATTATTGCCACTTTGAAAGACTCAGAAAAGCACAGGGAACAAAGTAAAAGTCACTCCCTTATCCCATCAGTTTGTGATTGCCTCTGTGGATGTATCTGCAGCCTTGGGCTTTTTTCACTCTGAGCTGCACTATCGCATTAGATTGTGGTGGCCAGCAAGAAACAGGGCGCCGCGAAGGGCGTCTGTGGCCCTCCCAGGAACGGGTCACCAGAGAGCGGAGGGAGTGAGCAAGGGACCCAGGGTGAAGACCATGCCCACGCTGGCAGCACCGGCCCACCATGCAGCCTCAGATGGTAGCCCAGAGGCTGCGCACGAGGACCAAACTCAGCTGGGAGGCAAAGTCCTTCTTTCCTGCAGTCACCACCAAAGTGGTGAAACATGGCTTGACTTTCACCGGCGGTGAGGGAGCAGGCTTTCCAACATGCGAGGAGTGGTTGTGCTTAGACACCTCATCCTCCCAAGCTGTCTAGACAGACATTTCCCTGCATTGTCTCAGTAGTGAGCTGAGCTTTTTGTTTGTCTGTTTGCCAGTTCCTGAACGAAGACTCGCTGCCAACCTCATCCTAGCAGTTCAGGTGTCGCTTACAGGAACCTGTGGAATTCTTAAGGAACCTTAGTCCCTATGGGTCCAACTTGCCAGAGAAGTCTCATCCTGCGACTGTTTTCATCACCTTCCGTCAGGTCGCATCACTGTGGCACCTAGGAGAGAGTCATATCAGGCAGACGGAGCTTGATTTGCTGCCTTGAGCAATTGCTTCCAACACACTGGTATCCGGTTTCCCTTGAGCCCCAGAGGGACCCTGAAAGCAAAACCTGGATATGCAGCTGAGAAGGAAGCTGAGGTTGGGGGAGACAGAAGCCATCACTCAGCTCTCTTGGCTGTTCACTGAAACAACTTGGTCATATCTTCTTCCTCATAATGAGCCACAGGGGCTTGTGACACTAGTCTCTATGAGGATGTGTGAGCATTTTCAAGATACAACATTTTAAAGTCTCGTGTACTGAGCCGTGGGTGGAAAAGTGGCTCTCATTGGGCAGAGGTCTTCTAAGCCCTTGGGGATCCCTAGATGGGCTTTTCTGTCTCTGTAGTACCAAGAATAGCTAATGGCTTCAACTTAAAGCTGCCATGGAAATTCTGTTAACAGAATGAAAGCAGACAGCAGGGATACAGAAGGTTTGCCTTGCTGTGGGACTCATGGAAAAAGCTTCACTTCTCTCTCTCTGAGGGCATCCAGAAATCCAGATGCTCCCTGGCTCATGTCTTGATAAACCCACTTTAGTTTTAAAATATTGTAAATCGAACGTGTGTTTAATACACCTCATCTTCTGAGCTTCCTAGCTCAACTGAGTCTACTTTAAATGTGCACGCTTATATTAGCCTGAAGTTGGGAAAAATCATCTAACACAAAGCCCATTTTATAATAAAGTTTTGAATTTCTCATGTAATTTATTGAATACTGTCCTGGACGTGAAAACAGAATGGTTGTATTGGCACTCAAAGCATGGTTTCTGCTGAATGTGTATCACTTCTGTGCCATTGTAAAGTCCAAGAATCCCAAGTTGAGTGCCATTAGTTGGGGACCATTGGCAATGCCAAGCCCCAGAGAAGACTCTTCTCTGGGAGACCACCCCTCCCCCGCCCATGGCTCGCTAGGTCTGACGCCTTCCCCACCACGTTCCCTGTGACCTCAAGCAAAATGTGATTTGTATTTGTGAATATGAAGCTTACAAACTTACATTTTGCTGACGTTCTGTAAAGAGAGTTTTATTATAAATTGCTCCAGTCTCAATAAAATTAACTTTGAGCATGTGGACAGTGCCTCTTGGACTTGTCATCGTGTTTCAATTGGTAACCTTTGAAATGGGGATAAACCCAGACCACAGGAGGGAGCAGGTGACAAGTTCAGGCACAGGAAAAGCAGTCAGCTGTGGAGGACCCTCAGCCCCTGGTCTTGTGCCTGTTCACTGCGTCCACTGCCAGGCGCCCTCTTTTGTGGTTGTGAATCTGCTGCATGACTTAACCCAGGACTCCATTCAGGAGGAGGCCAAGCGGCTGCCCCAACCCAGAGAGCAATTCTCCTTCTTGGCCATGTGTCCACACTCCCGGTGTCTGCCATGATTTTGGCTCCCTTGGGTCTGGGGTCCCTCTCTCCTACCAGGTAAAGGGTGGGGAGCCTTTATTGCATACATAATTACCCCATGCCATCCAAAGCTTGGGAAATCAGTTTTAAGCAATTTCACAGAAGGTGGTCAATAGGAGTAATTTGCCAAGCCTATACATGGAAGAAGATTTGAAAGAAAACTGAATGGCATAGGAGAAGAAGGGAAACTGAGATTTGTTGACACTCTCTGTGTGGGGTCTTGGGCTAATGCTTCAGAGCTCCTCACATCACTCGCCCTCCTGAGAATCCTCCAAGGTGGACACTATTATTTTCACATCACAGACGAGGAAATGGAGACTCAGCAAACCTGGTAACTTGCTCAAGATTGCACAGCTGAATTGGGAAACTCCTTGGAGATTAGGTTCTGAGAAGGTGCAGAACAGAATCTTAATTTTTAAAAAAAATTCAGTATTCTCTAAATTTCCTTGATTGTGAGACACTTTTTGGGTAAACCCTGTTAACCACGCCACAAATGAGTGCTTGCGCAGCACGCCTTGGCTTGGCTGCATGAGCCCAAGGTCCCTTGCAGCTCAGTAGCCAATCGGTCTGGGGTTCTTGTGCACACAGAATCCCGTGAGCTCAGCTCTGCTTAGGATCATCCTCTGGATGAGCTGCATGATGCCCAAGTTGCTTACCAGCCCCCTTCAGCAAAATCCCTTCATCTTTTGACTCCCACAGTGTAAATGTGGAAATGTAAGCTGGACCAGGCTCGGTGGCTCAGCCTGTAATCCCAGCACTTTGGGAGGCTGAGGTGAGTGGATTGCCTGAGCCCACAGGTTCGAGACCCGCCCAGGCAACTTGGCGAGACCTCATCTCTACAATAAATTTAAAAAACCAGCTGGGTGTGGTAGCGCGCGCCGGTAGTTCCAGCTACTCGGAAGGCTGAGGCAGAAGGATCGCCAGAGCCCAGCAGGTGGAGGCTGCGGTGGCCGGGAGCAGCCACTGCACTCCAGTCTGGGTGACAGAGTGAGACTCCGACTCAAAAAAAAAAAAAAAAGAAATGTAAAATGATGACTGTGTGGCCTCTGCAGTCTCAACACCTCAGCCTCATCGCATAATGCTAACCCAATCCTCACTGAGTTCAAATGCTATGAAATAAGCTACTGCAGTTTCCCTCTTTGCTGTTGAAAGACCATACAGTTCACAAGATCACAAACACAGCAGCAATAGATCACACAGCACACCTGCAAAAAATGAAAACACATATATTAACACTAAAGTCAAAATAAAACAAAACACACTTATATGAGCCTATGACACAGATAAACTCTCCCATTTCCATAATCAGCCTGAATGTGAATGGGCTAAATGCAACACTGAAAAGACATAGTATGGCAAACTAGATAAAATTGCATGACCCAACAATATGCTGCCTCCAGGAAACACACCTCATGACAAAGGACACCCACAGACTTAAAGTTAGAGGATGGAGAATAAACTTTCAGGCAAACGGAAAACAAAAGAAGGCAGACAAAACAGATGTCAATTATCAAAAATTTAAAAAGATACTGAAGTACACTGTATAACAATAAAAGACTCAACCCATCAACAAGAAATATCTATCCTAAACATATAAGCACCCAACTCAGCAGCACCAGGATTTATAAAGCAAACCACTAAGTAAAGTAAAAAAGGACATTGACTCTAACACTGTTATAACTGGAGACTTAAATACCCCACTAACAACCCTAGATAGATCATCAAAGCAAAAAATCAACAAGGGGATCCAGAACCTCAACTTGACACTTGACCAAATGGACATAATAGATGCCTACAGAACACTCCCCGCAACAACCACAGAATATACATTCTACTCATCACCACATGGAACATACTCCAAGATCAACAACATCCTCAGCCATAAATCAAGCATAAAAAAATTTCACAAGATTGAAATACTACCAGGCACCTTCTCAGACCACAGTGGAATAAAAATAAATATTGCTACCAAAAAGATC